AACCTATTGCTTTTGTTTTATAGTTAGTTTTCACATTCACTGTCATCATGGGAATCTCTATCACTGTCACCAACATCAACAATTAGTTCTTCTGTTTGTCTGTCTATTACTTGCTCACTGATCCCTATTTTTAAATATTTAATCTACGCCCCTGATAGGAATACTGAAGAAAGAAGGCTGCAATCGTTATATCTAAAACTGCCCACTTTTGCCACCGCGCATCTACGCCATTTTAAAATTTCCGCCAGCTTCCAGCGTCAGGCCTGTACGTTGTTGAAGAAGACGATCCTGTCCCTCCACCAAGCATCAAACAAGCACTTGATACAGCGAAATTATTAAAAAAATACTTTTTATATAATCAAATTGATCCAGCAGTATCGCAAGATATGTGTAAGATGCGTAACAAAATACAATTAAAATATTGGAGCAGCAAACAACATCAGACGAAGATAACAGGCTATACGCAATGTATGAATAATAATGTTCGTGTGCAAAATGTGTACCATTATTGGTAAATGCATATTATTATAGAACAGTAAAATAATATCATTTATTTCTCTCCATTTAACGACCACTCTTTATAACGCCAGTCCCTTAAGTGTCGTTAAATAAACATCACAAAATTCATTTCTACGTAGTGCAAATTCTTCGAAAATTTTCGTAACCACAAGGAATTCTCATAAAAATTTCGTTATTTCAAGAATTTTGTAAAGTGTTTTCTACCCTTGTGATGTGTCAATTGAATAAAGGGAGACATTGGGGAGAAATAATATGCTGGTATGAGATGAGAATTTGTTACCTACCGTCTGCGCGCTTCGATAATACAGTAAGCTGTCGGCGTGCCAAAGGGGAATCCTGAACGGGAAATCAGACGTGGAGGGCCAGGAATCGATGTGGATGGCGACCAAAAGGCGTACCTCAATATTAACGCTGGCTATTGCTGGTGACAGGAAGCCTATCCTTAAACGAATACCGCTCGGTTCATCGACGATCGCTAAACGGAAGTCCCGTGGGTCCGGGAACCGGGAATAGTTTCCAACTGAACGTGACAAATTGTTGTTATTATTTATACAATCGACATTGTGCTATCTATCTCCTCTTACATTATATTATTGGTATTTTGAGATGAACAGAAACTCAATTCAATCCATAAGAAAAAATAAATCGTATCTACGACTAGACTTCAATTTAAACATCGGAAATTGATTAAAAAAAAACAAAAGAATGGGATATCATTTTGAATCAATTTCAGAAATGAATATTCCGAAACGGACTGATGTTAAAAATTCTATTTCCAAAAATAACCCTCGATTTTTATTCCATTGATTCATTCGGTTTTCAGATACCTTTTAATGTGGAATATTTTCGTAAGAAGATATCTGCCAGTAGTAATAAATAAAATAAGGAACGAGACGGGGAATGTTCCAGAGGATTATACCCGGAACGTAGTAAGCATACATAAAAAGAGAGGCGCGGATGGGTGGGAGATATTTAGAACAATTACCATGCGTCAAAAATCTTACTACTTATCATCGAAGACGCGTTCAATATCATTAAAGACAGGACAATTGTAGGGATAGATATACAGGGACAAAAGATTAGTATGGTTAGATTTGCAGATCATATAGCAGTATTAGCATCTAGCAAAGGGTTAGAGATAGGTTTAAATAAAAAGGAAGTGGCATTGACAAAACAGCACTGTATGAAAATAAATAAAAGTAAAACAAAAATACTGGTATACAAGGGAAGAAAAAGTAGAGAAAGAGCGAATATAAAGATAGAACAAGTGGACGATTTTAGGTATCTAGATAGTCATAAAGCAGAGGATAACGCAGGGTCAATAAAAGGCCTTCAATAAAAAGAAGTCAATTCTGTGCTCGCAAACGGTTAATTTAGAAATTCAAAAAAGGTTGTTAAAGGTGTATGTTTGGAGCACGGCGCTGTAAGGGAGCCAAACATGGACATTGGGCGCGGCGGAAAAGAAAAGGTTAGAAACGTTCGAAATGTGGTGTTACAGGCAAATGATGAGGATACCGTGGATTGGTTAGTAGGACACCTTCTCAGGCATGAAGGTCTAATCAGAGACATAGAGAAACGGGAGTTAGGAGAGATAGACCTAGATTAGATTGCTGTTCGCAAATAGTTAAGGATTTGGGTTGTTCTAGCTTTAGGAGAATTGGAAGATTAGCTCAGGATAGGAAAGAGTGCAACGATTCTGTGTGTCTTTCCCATTATTTTTGGCGATAATATTGAGTTTTCTGAATACTGAATGCGAAATAAACCGCTTATTTTAAACTATTCTCGATATTTCGCATTTTGAATCATTCCGTTTATAATTACTTAACTTAATCATTTTATTCTGGATAGAATGTGTTTTGAGATAAAAGTTTTGAATGAAGAATAGCGACTTCTGTCAAAGAAGTAGACAATTTCTTTTCATATCAAGTTGAAAAAGTATCAAAACTCGATAACAGTATTCAATGGCAACAAAATCTTGAAGTATTCCAAGATGTTTACAATATCACTTTAACGTAATAAAATCCATAATACATAATAAAACGCGTTACGGTAAGCTTATGAATTACATGTATAGATAGGATAAAATATATATATACGTATGTGTGTAATAAGACCTAGTAGTAAACAGCTTTTATTACAGCCGCCGACTGCGACACCATTTCATTACTGAAAGCCCTTAAACGTAATAGATTTAAAATCCGCTGGAGTACCTAATCTTCTTTAAAATGAAAGTACAAATATTTCGTCGGAGACGCAAAGAAGATAAAAGGATTAAACTCTGCTGTATTCACATGGAATCCTTCTTTGCATTCATTTAGTATTATTAGAAAAACCCGCGGTTGTAAAAAAGCTGATAGAATGATTCTGTCTAAAGCCTAGTCCACACTTACATCGCGGAACCTCTCGCTGTCAAACCTTATTCGATTCGTATTATCATCTGAAACACGCGGGTTACATATATTCGATTTTTTTTTTGTGACGTTATGCTGGTACTCGTGTCTCTCACTTATACCGACAAGTTCGGTCATGTTGAATATTCAGTTAATTTTTGACAGCTGCTTTGCTTGCACGTGTTTTGGATCGTCTCCGATTTCTGCCTATTCCAAAACATGGATCAAAAAATCTGTATCAAATTTTGCGTGAAACACAAAATTAAGTGCGTGGACGCATTTCGAATGTTGACTGTGACATATGGTGAAGCTACCTTGGACCGAAGCAACGTTCATCGGTAGTACAAAATGTTCTCAGAGGGCTGAGAACATGTGAACGACGAAGAACGTGCCGGACGCCCGATCACTTCAACAACAGACGAAAACATTGATGAAGTGAAGAAAATAGTATTGGCCAATCGTCGAATCACCGTTAGAGAAGTTGCTGAAGACCTAAACATATCGAATTGGCTCCTCCTATTCAATGTTTACCAATGATTTAGGCTGAAATTGCTTAATTTCGAACAAAACCAGCATCTCATTAACATTTCTAAGGAGCTGTTGGACTCTGTCTGCGACAACCCAGAGGCGTACTGCATCAGGAGTTCTTGCTACAGGGTAGAACGGTCAATAAGGAATATTACCTGTAAGTTATGCGCAATTTGCGCGAAGCAATCTGCCAGAAACACCCGGATTTGTGGAAGAACAAAAATTGGCTTTTGCACGATGATAACGCCCCTGTTCACACATCGTTGCTTGTGCGCGAATGTTTGGCCAAGAACAACACGCTAATAATGCCGCAGCTACCGTATTTTCCAGATCTGTCCCCCTATGACTTTTTTCTTGTTCCCGAAACTGAAGAGTCTCATGAAAAGACGACGCTACGCTACGATTGAGGAAATAGAAAAGGCATCGAAATAACAAGATCACAAAAATAATTTTTTGAAGTGCTTCGGGGAGAGAAATCGTTGATACAAGTGTATAATGTCTATTCTGCGTTACTTTGAAGGGAATAAAAGGGATAGTCAATAATAAATAAATAATTTTTAAAAGAACACAAAATTCGGGATAGTTTTTGAACATACCTCGTATTTAATAACGGACTACTGCAGCATCCAATGTTAAACCGCAATGCAATTACAAGTTCTAGTTATTCATATAGCTACTTAAGAATACGCTTAAGGATATTTGGATATTATCCTTTGTAGTCTTCTTTGTTAATTAGTATATTCTCTCTGGACTTTGGTAATTAGTTTTGTAAATTAAAATCTACGAGTACCTACCTACTAAGTAATAAAACATTGTGCAAAATTACCTGGTCCATAGTAGACATGCCGTTCTGGCGGAATCTTCAGTATGTGATGCAGAACTACAGGATCCACCACCTTCCCAGGTGAAGCACAAAGTGTCGAATCGTCGATATCAGTGGGACAATCAACACCTTGTTTTGAAGCAGCTTCAGCTAACATCTCAACCATTCTTGCTTGGATTTTGTCTCTATTTAAGTTAATTAATTTTGAAATAATATAATGATTTTTAACATACCAAAACATCAAAGGGCGAAAAAGGGTTAGATAATTTTCTGCAGTTTGGCAGAATTTAAAATTGTGCTGAGGGTTTCATTGAAATCAATTGTACCTGCGTAGATAACCGCCAGAGTTGAGAAATTCGCTCCATATCTTGGCGGTATTCCCCGAAAATCTAAGCCGGGCATAGCCGTGAGGGCACATTTCAGTTCCACCCTCTGTAATTACATACTGCGGCGGTTCATCTCTGGAATACAAAAGTGGCACAGACAGTGCATCTAACCTGACGATGTATTCGAGCTTGTTGGAAAACTTCTGAAATTAAATTTTCATTCTATCAGTTTCTCGCGTCCGTCTTTGAACTGAAATATTGATAATGATACATACGTCACGTTCCGAGTCATGTAATGCAACCAAATATTTCGAGGCAAATCGTGGATCTAGGATTCCAACGGTACATAGCAGTCTTTGGATCAGTCTTTCTGTTACTGATCTTGCTATCAAAATCGGTTTGCCTGAAATAGGTAAATTAAACTTTTATAATTAAATTTTATTTCTTCGTTAGAGTTCGTTGTTTGTGAGACTAGAGCGATTTGATATGCAATATGAGACCATTTATTTAGGAATTTTGTATATGGATAAGACTAAAATTAAGATAAATTACAAGGTAAAATCTAAAACGATTCCTATTCGTCAATACCACATAAGGAACATTCAAGTATTCCGTAAATTCTAACGAGGGGGCCTGGGGTCTTTGCTTTGCTTATTTTTGACCACATTGGGGATGAAGTGTCAGGATGGTGATTACGTCAGCAGTATTAATTTTTTACTTTTTCCAAATCTTCTACAAAACTTAATCGATTTTAATTTGAACAAGAATGGCAATCCTTATTATCTATACTTGAAAACGAAAATCATATTCAGGGACTTATAACTGAAACCAGAATACATTGAAAAATGAATGTACCCATGTTTGCGTAAGCATGGAAGGCAGGGTAGGAACTTTGCTTACCTTTACAGACGAGGGTGCGGGAAGGGTTAATAGTTGCAAAAGATCTGCTTACGTAATACTTGAAAGACCTCATACCAATATCTAAAACCTTAACGCTTAAGCTTAGTGAACAATGACAAGACTGATAACTTAAAGGAAGACTAAAATTTTAAAACATTGACTTTATTCAAATATCCAAATCACACACTATTTTAGACCTTAGAACTGCGTACTAGACCAAAACCAAGGTTTGAGTAAGTAAGGTCAAGAGTAATGCTTTCATTATACAGACAAAAAGACCATAGGTAAAATGAATTGCACACTTATTCTATGACAAGTCTGTTTATTTGAATTAGTCAGACGATGTACTCGCTAGATAGAGGATTAAGCACTCAAGATTAAGATGAACATTTTCGACACATTTGATTTTGTAGTGTGAGATTAAGATTCAGGTGCCTTAAAGCATCTATTGAGATACCCATGGCTGTGTACCGAGGGAGACCATTGCTTAGCATTTGGGAGGACGCCGGTTCGATTCCGGGTCCGTCTGCCTCGGTCCAAGCTTTTCTGTGGTTTCCTTGGATCACTTAGGCAAATGCTGAGGCAGTGATATTCCACAGATAATCTTTCATTCTTTTCTGCCTTCATTTCGTCCGTTTCATCTTTCTCACGCGAACCACCACTCACCCATTCCCATGATTCTTGAAAGGAGGCTGAAGAGGGCCTTCTGCCCTACCTTCCGGCGTAATCCGGAGGGCCTTCCCGCCCACCAGCATTAGTGGCTTCTGGGAATGAAACACCCAAAAGTTTTTTCTTTTGTGAGTAGTATCTATATACTTTTCTTTTATAATGGTATGATCAAAATCGAGGAAAATTGATATAAATTATAGTCTTGAAAAATACACTTTACGCTGGTGATTGGAACATAGATTGTTTACTTTAAATGATCAATGGAAAACCGTTCAGGGGTATATCGACATTTAATAATAATAAAAATCCGCTTAGCTTCAGTTATGCAATAATCGATGGTACATGTTGGTGCAAAATTAAGTGTAACTACTAGTGACAATGCGATCGAACGTATCACAAATGGAGGCAATTTAATTAACTATGATTGTGAGAGCACGTAGGAAGGTCACATATCTCTTTAACATCCAAAAAGCGTGACGGACACAATTTTTACTAACGGAAATTATGTCCGGTGTGAATCGGACTGAGTTGCTCCAAATCTAATTCGGAAATAATTATGTGCCATACGCTGGTGGTTTATTTAAAAATGGCAGTATTAAAAAAAAATGGAAATATCATAATAGCAGTAATTTATTGTTACGAAATTGTATGTATTCCGGGCTTAATGGTCTAGTCCAGGGATGGCGAACCTTTAAGTACCGTCGTGCCATTTTTATAAAGAAAATCAGGTCATAGACGTGCCATCAAATAATTTTGTCTCTGTGATTATTGGGAAAATAATGATAATAAATAATATCAACTCAAAATTCTACTAGAAAATAGGAACATTTTGCAATGTTGAAATTATACGTGTAATTTAAATTAAAGTAAAATTAGTGTGACTTCTGTTTTTGCAGATTAGATGATAAATAACTTATGTTAGGGTTGTAAGATGTTAATTTTAGCAGAATGCATGCTGAACTGGAGTCATCTACCAAACGGTTTGTAACTGCGAGTTTTTGATGTTATTAATCTCTGAAAATGATGACTCGCAGGCATAGGCTGATGAAAACATTATTAAAATATCATATGCCAGCTTTTTCAAAAAATTAAATGTGTTTGTTATTGCATTCCATGTTTCCAAAATTTTGTTATTAGCACTTTCACTTGTATTATCCATCAGTCTTCCTGTTTCTATTATTTCGAACTCTTTCCTTGTTCCAACAACTTTTTGAATCATATTGAACTAGACTGGAAATCAATCAGCTGCATTTCAGATTCTTCAATTTATTTTATCAAATGTCACATCAAGGTACATAATAAACTTTCGTATTAGTATTTCCGATAATTCTCTGAAGTGAGAAAATCTTGCTGAAAATTCCTTCATTAAAGAATCAATCACAGAAACATTAGTGACGTGCCCAAAATATTGTGTGACGTGCCACCAATGGCACGCGTGCCATTGGTTCGCCATCCCTGGTCTAGTCTATAGGTGGAGTTCTCTTTCTAACGTTTCGTCCACAACTGTGGCGCACATCCTCAGGGATCATTGCTGCGACAATCGAACTTAGATTAAGTCAGTCAATGTAAGAAAATAATAACGTGATATTGAATGATTGAGGTATGTCGTAGTTTATGTTATTTCGAAATTTTTGTAAAAGCTTTGTTACATTTACTATTAAATAATAGACACTATACAAAAAAAAACGATATCCTTTTATATATTGACGAATATTTTTGAGTCCCAGGAAAATTATTATGTTTGTAGTACAGTAATAGTTCTTTATTCACGATTTCCTTATTCGCGGTTAAAAATTTCATTATTCGCGGATGCAATCGGTAAACAGAAAAGGATTTGGTGTCATTTATTAAGGAGATTGGCCGCAGTAGATCGCTCGTACCTAGTGTGAATTTTTCCTAAAGCATGGGTTTCTATTCTAAACATTGTGATTTAATGCTGCTAGATGAATGTCTGATTTTTGGTAACAGGCAAAGGTTCACACTAACTTGATACGTTTTTGTTTTTCAATATTATGCTCATTAAAAGCTTTTACAAGTGTTTAAAGTTGATGCTTCTTGTAGGACACGTGTTTTCAATAGAAATTAAAAATTTAAAAAATGGCCTTCGACAAGTTTTAGAACAAAGCTTTATCTATCTTACTACAAAATTTCAAACCCCTGTTCCAAACATTAAACTCATGACATCTAGAACCGATAAGCATGTTTTTACTCTACGGCGCGTGCACTACTGAATCACCTAAATGTATCGGCATCTTTTGAGTATGTACGTCCCGAGGCAGCTTTTATAAAACATGTAACCGAGTGAACTAATTCAAAATTCAAAACAAGAAAAAATCACTAATTCTTTTAAACCCTTGTCTAATGCTGATTATAACGATTAATTTTAATTGCGAATTTCTCAATAAATTACCATTCCATATCCACGGTTTCTGTATTCGCGGCATATTTATGGAACGTATACCCCGCGAATAAAGAGCTTTTACTGTACTTAATTTAATAAATATTTTACTCAAAATTTGTTAGAGCCTTCGCAGTTACTTACTTTTATCAGGTTCATTCGCGTTTAGGATCCGCCTGGTTAAAATAAAGTTTAAATTTTGAAGTTGGTCTGAACAGAACTTTAATTTGCTCGCAGGTAGAACCAGTTCTTTCAGCTCTTTGTTTAGTTTCCTGAAGCTTTTCGTTCTTGTACAAGTTATTTCCTGTTTATTTTTCCGCCTGGATGGAATCATTTTCCATTTTCCTGTAAGAGTCCAAATTAGTCTTAAAAAAAGTTCCAAAAGATTATAATAATCTCAGTGTATTAGAAGGTAGACCATTTAAAGTAATTTATGTGTAAAGTTTAATTTAATACCTTGAAAATTAAGCAAATAAAACCAATAGAAGGTAACCACCGTTTCCTAAAGATTACTTAAGATGAGTTTAAGATTAGTTGGAATTGTAGCTGAATTTTGGTTTGTACAAGTATTACAATTTTGCTACCAATGTTAAGTGTACCATCTGGACATGCTATCTATTAAATAGGTTTATTTTGCACAGCTTACATCTCGCATTTGTTCAATAAATAACTGCTTAAAGCTTGTTTTGAACGTCAGCAAATTACAATTAGTAATATTCCCTGTGTAAACTGCACCGTACGCTAGACAAAAAGTACGTAAACTAATAGGTATATGTTTAATAACTTTAGAGGAGTAAATATGTATTAAATCATTTATTTATGGACGCAATTCTCATAAATTTCTATTACTATTTAGTAGTTAATAGAGAAGCATGAAAATATAATTTCGAATTTCATTAAATGGTTGGTCTAGGCCTAAGGGAGACCGAGGCAAAATGGGATACTGAAGAATGAAATCATCATATAAAAAAATTAAATTGTTTAATGGAATAACTTTTAGTTAGATAGTAACATTATACATCAACTTCAGTTATACAATTTCGACTTGCAACTCTAAATGCTTATTAAATCGCAACCTAATGTAACCTAACTGAATCCCAGTTTAGGCCATGGAATTAAGGGATTGGACAAGAGTACTACAACACATTTCGTTTGTGTTGTGTTTACCTACTGTAACATTGCAATCAAACAAATGATAGCTGTAAGTTTAATTAGATAAGAACTATTAATTTTTGGGGTATGTGAAGCCAATGAGAACGAAGTGAGTCGTGTACTTTTGTTTTGTTAACACGGTTAAACAAATCTTATTTAACTTAATTCTAACCTAATAAACAATTTAATCGCAGACAATAATCGTCACAACACTGGTGAGTAAAATTATGATTCGGGCTGACAAGCCGTAGTCTAAAATTATTAGGTTCAGATGTTTCGTCGACATTTACGACATCTTCGGTGGCACTGCATTGAAACATGGGCGCTGAAGATTCAGATGCAGTTGCAGACGAAACGTCTGGATCCAACAATTTATTTAGACCACGGTTATTCAGCCTGAATCATAATTTTATGATACCATTGATTCTGGCAGTGAAACCTTATCTTCTTATACTTATGGGTAAATTAATACTCAACTCGAAATTTTGAGTTACAAGACGAAATTTCAAAAAACAAAAATTATGTTTGACCCTTCTACGCCTTCGTACAAACAAACTGAAAGTTTCAGATACTAAAAATATTTTGTTTCACGAAAATAATATACTAATGTTACTTCAAACAGTCTAACTCATAAATCCACCTGATGTAATAATTTTTCGTTTTCTGTTGCTGATTTGGTCTCGAGTTGGATATTTGGTTTTGGATTTCGTTCGGTCTTAGTCTTACTAATATAAAGGCAGACTTGGTTTTGCATTTTCGGAAGACCAAGACCAAGATTGCAAGGCCAAACCCAATTTTGCACTTCACTAAAATTAACCGATCTCAAGCAAAAAAGTGATTCCTTGTGGTTAAAAGCGATCCGACCTTGAGCTATTATTTGTTTTATATCTCTAAAAGTTTTTTCATTCGTATATGATATTTTCATTCATATTTCTATATTGTCTTATCTTTTCATTTTTAGGTAACGAATGGTATGTGCCAAGAAAGAGGAAACTGAAAAAGTTTTATTTAAAATGGTGAGTTTATTATTCAAAGATATAACTTTATTTGTTCATTGTGTCACGTTTGAATTCGTAATAGATGATAAAACAATGACAATAATTTGGTATTAATCGTGGTGAAATGCATCACAAAAATTAAGCAAAGTAGAATATGTGCCTACGTATTTGCTTAATCTATCTGCGGTAATTATTTGAATAATTTATCGAAATTGAAAATCATACTCTCTGATGTAATTGTATTTACAAAAACAGGTTTAAGGATGGTAATAATTTTCAATTTAAGTATATGTATTATCCATGATTAAAAATAATGACGATTTTTTGCAATTGTTGGCATTTTACCAAAACCAATTACCTGACCAAGTTACACGAGTTTTTGCTCATAATCATTCAATATTGCCACGCGATCCACCAGAATTGAACTTATTTTTATTTAAACGCAAGCTTTGGTCATATTTAGTTAACAATGATGTCATTACACTGCCACTCGTAGCAAAATTGATCCCCTTTGTAATGCATCATAATAGGATGGTAATTCTTAAAGAATTTAATATCTGAACTGTCTAATAAACTAAGGTTTTTTTAACCGAGTAGGATGGCCTAGAGGCTTAGACCATTGCTTAGCAATCGGGAGAATTCCGGTTCGATTCCGAATTCGTCTACTCTGATCCATGTTTTTCTGTGGTTTCCTTGGATCACCTAGGCAAATGCTGGGGTAGTAATATTCTAGAGATAATCTTTCATTCTCTTATGTCTTCATTCTGTCCGTCTAATTTTTCTCACCCGAACCACCACCCACACATTCCCACGATTCTTCAAAGGAGGCTAAAGAGGGTCTTCCGCTCTACCTTCCGGCTTCGATAGGAGGCGAAAAATCAGAGGAATTGGCTGATTTTAGGTATTTAGGAAGTCAGATAAGTCAGGACGGAAGGAGTAGTAGAAATATAAAGCAGAGGATAGTGCAGGGTCGAGTCGCCTTCAATAAAAAGAAATCACTTCTATGCTCGCGAACGGTTAATTTAGAAATTCGAAAAAGGTTGTTAAAAGTGTATGTTTGGAGCACGGCGCTGTACGGGTGCAAAACATAGACAGTCGACGCGGCGGAAAAGAAAAGGTTAGAAGCATTCGAAATGTGGTGTTACAGGCGAATGATGAGGATACCGTGGATAGAGAAGATTAGAAATGAAGAGGTATTAGAAAGAATAGAACAGAGGACTTTATAGAAGTCACTAATAAATAGGCGAGATAGGTTCGTCGGACACCTTCTCAGGCATGAAGGTCTAGTTAGAGACATATTAGAGGCAGAAACGGGAGTTAGGAGGGGTAGAGGTAGACCTAGATTACATTACTGTTCGCAAATACTTAACGATGTGGGATGTTCTAGTTTTAGGGAAATGCGAAGGTTAGCTCTGCATAGGAAAGAATGCAGATGCGTGTCTGACCAGTCTTAGGACTGACGACCTTATGATTATGAAATATATTATTATAAGGAATAAAATTAAAGTTTTAAAGTTACACTGTACACATACAATTTAAATAACTTTTGTTATTATTTATATCGATCATCATTTGAATTGAGTAAATGTGTTATGTTACTAAAGGTGAGTGAAAATCATGTGCATTCGTGTAGGTTAATTGTTATATCGTAATTGAAATGTCCATATTCATTAAGCGTGTAGTATATTACGTTACTGTTCCGAGTTTGTTTTTATAATTCGCATCATGTGATGGAATTGATGTCGTCAAAAGACTGCTGTCCCGTTTCAAATCCGTGGCAATTTTGGCATTAAGCCCGCTCTCCCTACGATTAAATCAAAAACACATGACTCGCATCATAGTACGTGAATTGTAAGGTCATTAGCACTTTTTTTTTATTTCCGTTACTGATGTTATACTACGCTCTCAAAACAACTGTTTCACGTTTGCAATTTGTGATGTTACGTAACATTTGTTGTTGGATAGAATTTTGGCACTTTTGGAGGCTTTCTTAATTTGAATTGCTATTTCTATTTCTATAATTTTGTGAAGGATTAATTTGTTGTATGTAATGATATTTTTCGACTTCAACGTCAACTGCACGCTACTGTCGCTTTTTTGACCTATTTTGCTTGCCTCTTTTATATATACAATAACAGACTGTCTTGTATTTATGACAAACAAAAATCATGTGATGTGACCATTTCTCCTAATTTACAGTAGAACCTCTATAACTCGAATATCAAGGGAGACGCCAAAAAATTCGAGTCATAGAGTTTTCCACTTATTGAGGATTTGGATTCAACTTGTAGAAGTTAAGATTTGGTTTACTTACATTGTCGGCAAATCCTTAATGTCGATAACTTAGTTTTCTTCGACCTATAGACATACTAAGTTTCAAATTATCGAGTTGTAAAGATTGTAAAATAAAACATTGCTATGTTCGAGATACAGAGGTCCAATTTATTTTTTCGAGTTATAGAGGGAAAATATGTACCAAAATGGCTTGCAGGGACTCACTGATTATTTCGACTAATAGAGGGTTGAGATTTCGAGTAATGGAGGTTTTGGGGCTTGAAGGGAAGGGAATAAAACATTTTTTCGAGTTTTGGAGGTTTTAGACTTATCGAGGTTCGACTTAAAGAGGTTCTACTGTAACACCTTTTTTCGATCGTCATGATGACATGATGGAATCGGTCCCGGTGCTTGTCATTCGTAGCACTCAAGTTTCAAGGGAGGAAATTCCAATGGGAATATCAGAAAGTAACTTTCAGGAACATATATTAAACGACTTTGACCTGTTTTCTCGTCCAAGATTTTATACGTTTTTAATATTTATCTACTCTCAAAAATGTCTTGTTGTCAAACATTATTTTTGTTTACATTACAGGGGTTTACTGTCCAATTATTTTATTGGATAATAGACAATAGATTGATTCATTATTTTACCCCGGAACTTCGCGTGAAGGAAGAAACAGAACTTCTCATCATGTCTAATAAAGTTTCATCGAAATCAGCTTTCCAATGATAGGTCCTAAGCTTAATTTTTAGTGGGTTACATTTAATATCCTTTTCTTAACGAAGATATTTTTTAATTAATAGTATAACGTATAGAATTCCAATAAGCTATTTGAGAATAGGATATTTAGTATTCCAGTTCCAAAATTTTGTCAGTTCGGCACATTAACTATTCGGACATAGATAATAGAGAAAGAA